GGATTGAGTCAGTGACTGGGATAATTGGGATGGGAGTGTCAGAGACAGTGCGACTGGCACAGGACAGAGCGGAGTTTAGGGCTGTTGTACATAGGGTCGCTATGAGTCGCAGGCGACTCGACGGCACATAACAACAACAACAATCATATCTAAATAGCCACAGAATTATTCCTTACTACCACCTTCAAAACCTCTCCAGAAATACTCAAGTAATTTTATAGTCTACTACTACTAATGCTTTCCTGGGATACTTAATTATATGACATGGTAACCGATATGATTATTTCCTAGTTAATATTTTGGTGATTTAAGTCTCACTGGAATTCGTTTCTGCTACCTCAAGTATAATCTGTGCAATACAAATTTCAGGGGATCTAATATTTTCCCAACCAATTACCTATATAGTAATTTTCATGAAAAAGCCAATTAGTATGGGAATTAGAATCAAGATCAGATAATCCTCCAATCATCATGGGTCATAAGTATAAAATCTTAGCACAGAGCTAATCAATAATAAATCAATAATAAATCAATAATAAATCAATAATAAATCAATTCCATAGCTCCTGCTGAGTCTTAATGCACGGGGTATTTATGTGATGTAAGAGTGTTGAACAAGGGTTTGGGAACTTCTCTCAATTAAAGCAAAACTCAAACATATTATTAGGTTCACAGTGCCCTATTTGTCATTTGAATTACACATTGGTATCACTAAATACTCATCATTTTGTTAAAGAAGCATTTCATTCACGTTTTTTGTTGTTGCTTTTCATGGATTTCCATTCATATAATGCTGCACGCTTCGCTCCCTACTGACCTACAGTTTTTGGGTTCTGTTGTTATTGTTCACGTTCTTGATCAAGAGTGTCTTGGCATTCAATACAATCTGTCCTGAAAGAGGAATGGTGCCAGAGGGGGAATGTTTTCCATACTAACTTTATGTTGACTTACCATACTTCTTTTATACTGACAACTTTATAGTAAAAAAATTTAAATAGTTCTGTTATAGTTACTTTCATCCCATTCTTTTCCATTTTTCTCCTTTTGTGTAGGTTTTCAAAGGTAACCATATTATCATGCCAGGAGCACTATCAAATGCTCATGCAATTTTAATTTTAAATAGTATCAATGTTCACAAATGCACCTAACAATGACAAGATACTTGTTCCATCCACCATTTACAGGCTTGTAATAAAAAAAATAAATAAATAAAATTCATTTTAGCTTAACTGAAAATCTTAACTTCTTTAACAATCGTACAGTGGAATCCTCTATTCAGTTCTCTTCTGATCACTCACTGCTATCAAGTCAGAACTGACTCATACCTGACTCTCCTAAAAAGTCCTCAGAGCTCATAAATTGCACAGGAGGAAATTGCCCATTCTTCTCCAGAAAAGCAGCTAGTGGTTTTGAACCATAAAGAGGCACAACCTTTGGGTTGTAACATGCAAAGGGCTACACCACCAGCACTCCCTTCTCCTATAAGACTTATACATTTCTTTAAGCTCTGTCCTTGTTATCTACGGAGGAAGCAAAAGATTCCCATGAATCTAAGATAACTTCTATTGCTCGCTTGGCAAAAAATAGCTTTTACAAAATTAGTGTTTCCTTAAGAAAGCCTAATCATCTACAACCAAGAGAAGATAAAACAGATGAATGGGACCTTCTAAGAAGCAAATCCCTATGCACATCCAAAA